TCACATTACAAATTGTATATTATACATGTATGTCAATATACATATGTTCTTTGAATTACAAATTGTATATTATACATGTATGTCAATATACATATGCTCTTTGAAGAGCTGGCCTGAGCCATTCATGCGCCCCGGCCCGGGTGCCCGGCGCATGCGTGACCCCACCCCTGGGGCACCGGCACATGCGTGGACCCATCCCTGCCCAGTCTGGCAGCCCCGCGTGGTGCCCCCTACAATGGGGTGCCCCGGACAGTAGTCCCGTCAGCCCATAGCTTGGGCTGGCTCTGGCTCTTTGGGGATTCCAGTGCAGGATTTCTTTCCCAGATGACTTATCTGAATAGTTTTGTTTCATTCTTACATACTAATGTATTTGGATCTCTGAAATATTACAGCATGCCAGGAACTAAAGAGGAACAAGAAATAGCACATTATCTCCCATGAATGTAGGATCCTACAACCAATGAAATTCATGTACAGTTAAATGCAGTTTCTTCAAAGTCACTGATTACTTTGTCATCATTCCAGCTAACAGAATCTTCAGCTTTCTTTTGATATGCTAATACATATATGTATATATATACACCTCTGTAATTTCCACTCCATGCATCTGATGAAGTACTTTTTTACCCACCCAAACTTATGCCTAAGTAAGTGTAACAGTCTTTAAGGTGCCACAGGACTCCCTGTTAGTTTTCTGTTAATAATTGGCTATGAATCTAGGCAGTTTTTGCAATTATGTATAATAGACAAACATGACTGTTTAAATACAAGCAGTGTCTGCTTGTACTTTGATATGATAGAGGCAAAACTGTCCTGTTCTTAGTACAGTTTGGAGTGGCCACCTCAGCCCTGTACTTTGGGAGGCCCCAAGGTAGCACCCCAATTGACCTATGGACAGGATAGTCCCCCATATTGGTTGGGGCCCTCTGGGCTCATGGTCACCTTGGAAGTTACTTGGGAGGCCATGGGTCACGCCCTCTGCAAGCACTATGGCAGCAGAAGCCTGGGAAGCAGAAGGACACACACAGCAACCTGCACTGCTCCACCTCCATGCATCTCTCAGCTGGGCTGCTCCTCTTCATTGTGGTGGTGGGAAGTGGAGCACCCTGCCCTAATCCCAGCACGCTGCACATCGCTCTGCTCCACTCCCCTGAACAATGCTGGGGTTGGGGGACTGCAGAGGGCTGGGGCTGGGGCACTCCGCATCCTGACATCATAGAGAAGAGGAATAACCCAGTGGGAGGATGGCGGTGGAGCAGCGCAGGCTACTGCATGCGTCATTCCGCTTCCTGGGATCCTGTTTCTGTGGGGAGTGTGGGGAGCCTGACCCCTGCTGCTGTCCCATGCCAGGCCCCTGGTAATCCCCTGGGTCATGTAGCTCAGGGAAAGGGTCTTTGGAGAAGAGATATAAGGAGATAGGAGGGGACAGAGCAGGGGTGGAGTTTGGGGGAAGGGGTGGAGTGGAGGTGAGTCAGGGGTAGGGCCTGGATCATGGGGGGAAGGGAGAGAGGTTGCCTCAAGCCTCACTCCTCGTAGGGATGGCCCTGTTTAGAGGGGTGATTGGATGTGGTTAAGGAAAGCAGTGAGTTTGCTATCTGCACTGTTATACAAATCTCTAGTATGCCTTTGCACCAAGCTGGTTCAAAAACCTCTTTTTCTCCCCATTGACACTAGGCATGGACTCAAACAAGAATATCAAGTCTCAATCTCCCTATTCCCTAATTTTTGGAAGTTCCCATCTAGATCCAGACCCAAATGTCATGACTCAAGCTTACCTCGCCAATGAGTTGAAATTGAGAACCGAAGATCGGGGATGGCAGGTTTGTAGAATTTTTGATTGTTTTCAGAATAGGTCCAAGTCCTCCTCACCCTCACAATGCTTTGGGAGGAGGAAGTTAAGGGTGCTGGCTCTGGGAGGGAGTTTGGGTGTGGGGATTGGTCTGTAGGTGTATGAAGAGGAGGGAGGGTCAAGAGGGGGCAGAGATGTAGCATTTACCTTGAGTTGTAGAATTTTTGATTGTTTTCAGAATAGGTCCAAGTCCTCCTCACCCTCACAATGCTTTGGGAGGAGGAAGTTAAGGGTGCTGGCTCTGGGAGGGAGTTTGGGTGTGGGGATTGGTCTGTAGGTACATGAAGAGGAGGGAGGGTCAAGAGAGGGCAGAGACGTCGCATTTACCTTGAGGGACCCCCATCTGGCAGTGGCACCTCGAAGGGCGAGGTGGGGGGGCAAGAAGATATCCCTGAACTGCTGCCCTCTCATACAGCTCCTGCAACTCTGATTGGCAATAAGGGTGCTCAGGACAGGGACAGCACACAATGATACAGACACACACACATAAAGGGGCCTCAGAGACAGAGATAGCTGTGTGTCAGAAGCCCTGGACAGCCAATGAAGCTTCGCCTTTATTCCTAGAGGAAAGATTCTCAAAGGCATTTAGGCTGCTCACTTCCATTTGAGGATCTATGCCTTTGTACTTTGGGAGATTCTGCATGCTAATGTTCCTGTGATGCTGTACCCCATATTCTTCATAGTGTTATTATTATATGATTATACCAAAATTATGATGCTTTTTGTGCAAGATGAGTCATATAGGATGTCATAGGAAAAGTTAACTTTTGCTAATTGTATTATATTTAATATATACATTATATTTCATATATAACTACATATGAAATATATAAATTATATCTATATGTATGTACCATTTTTGTATCAGAAGTTATCAATCAGAGATCTGGAAAGGATATCAAGAGGTCATCAAGTCCAGTCCCCTGCCCTCTCAGCAGGACCAAGCACAGTCTAGATCATCCCTGATAGATGTCTATCTAACCTGCTCTTAAATATCTTCAGTGATGGAGATTCCACAACCTCCCTAGGCAATTTATTCCAGTGTTTAACCACCCTGACAGTTAGGAAATTTTCCCTAATGTTCATCCTAATTCTCCCTTCTTGCAATTTAAGCTCATTGCTTCTTTTCCCGTCATCCGAGTACAAGGAAAACAAGTTTTCTCCCTCCTCCTTGTAACACCCTTTTAGATACTTTAAACTTGCTTTCATGTCCTCTCTCAGTATTCTCTTTTGTAAACTAAACAAACCTAATTTTTTCAGTCCTCCCTCATACCTCATGTTTTCTAGACAATTAATCATTTTTGTTGCTCTTCTCTGGACCTTCTCCAATTTCTCCACATCTTTCTTGAAATGTGGTACTCAGAACTGGACACAGTACTCCAGTTGGGCCCTAATCAGCACACAGTAGAGAGGGAGAATGACTTCTTGCATCTTGCTCACAACATTCTTGTTAATACATCCCAGAATCATGTTTGCTTTTTTTGCAAAGGTATCATACTGTTGCCTCATATTTAGCTTGTGGTCCACTATGACCCCTAGATCCCTTTCAGCAGTATTCCTTCCTAGACAATCACTTCCCATTCTGCATGTGTGAAACTGATTGTTCCTTCTTAAGTGGAGTACTTTGCATTTGTCCTTATTAAACTTTATCCTGTTTACCTCAGCCCATTTCTCTAGTTTGTCCAGAGTCAACATCCATGTTGACTATGTGTCTGTATTTCAAAAGTAGTTACACCTGGTTGACACACACCAGGCAAGATGCTTTCAATGTAGATTATGGGTGGGAAAGGTCTTATGCAGGGTAATGAGCCATTAGGGAAAATTAGATCCTAGGAGAAGCTTGTACCTAACCTTTTGAATCTTGCTATAAATCTTCCAGACAGCTTATAAGTAATGGCGACTATGACTCAGCAAGATATGTAAGAGCCTGTGATCAGGCCACATGATTCTTGACTCCATCTTGCAATGTCAGTGTTTTTCCACATACTGGGTTTAGAACAAAAGGTTCCCATCAAATGAAAAAGCTATGTAAGGCCGGGAGTAACATCATCTGTGGTTCTTCAGCCCTTGCACAAGAAGACTCCTGGAAAGTTCTAAGGAATAAAGATTGAACTGAAGGATGTGCTGGACCCCGGCTAAAGGGATTTAAAGCATGTAAATAAAAGACCTCAGGATTCCAAGCTGTAAAGCAAGTGCAGTTTGTCCTATAAGAACTTGCCAGCCTACTTGTACAACCATGCAGAGTGAGATACTAATCATTCACAGTTAATGTATCTAGTATATTAAGAGTGGTTTGTGTTTTTCTTTATTTGCTAGGTAATCTGCTTTGATCTGTTTGCTCCAATAATAATCACTTAAATTCTGTTTTTGCAGTTAATAAACTTATTTTATGTTTTAAATTAAATCTGCTGTGCCTTTAAGTGAAGTGTCTGAGGAAAAAATCTAAGCTTGGTTTAATATGGGCTCATTGCATTTTCTCTTCATACTAGGGAGGGAGTGAACTACATGAGTTTACACTGTACAAATCCCAGTGCAGTGCAAGAAGGTATAATTTTGAGTTTATACTCTGGAGGGAAGCATGCGTGCCTAGGGAGCTGAAAGTTACCTTGACGGTAGTCTTTTTATTGTTGGTTCATGCAGTGACTGGTCACAGGATCTGAATGTAAGTGCAGCTGGGCATGTCCCTACCTGTGTGAATCCTGGAGTAAGTGTAAGATGGGTAGCAACTCTGCAGCCTTTCACAGGAGCACAGTGAGAGAGGGAGACCAGGTTAGTGGGTCAGAGTGTTTAGTGGCACCCCAGTTGCAGGGGCACTTATGGGGGAATGTGTTATAGTTCCCCATTGGCTTCATTGTGTATAGATTAGTAAAAAGTGTGAAGTTCTAATGTGACAATCAATTTATTAAAAATATACATAAAGTATATATTACACACACAGTACACAGCCAGACAAATTAACTAGCTATATTGTATGTTTGTCAGACTAATGATGGTTTCCAGAGTCTCAGCTACAGCATCACTGCCCACCATGATCAGTAGGTACTGGAGAGCCTCACCTCACATAGATTGTACATACAGCATTGGGTGGGCTCAGTCCATCTGTCCACTCTTTAGACAATAGAATCACTACTGACCTTAGTGGTAGCTGCCTTTGCAAAGAAGTCAATGACCAATTGGGTTGTGGAGAGTGAACCACCCTCTCATGCATAGGAGCAGTCCTTCAACATCAGGTGCAAGGTCCACTTTTGTGGTGGTGAATGATATAAAGAAGTTGGCACTGATACTTTGGATGAAAGAAATCCAGTCTTCAGGGTTCTCAAAATTACTGTACATCACTGCCAAACAGATATAATAAACAGAAAGAGACCAATAAACCAATAAAAAGAAAGTTTGTGATAAGGTAACAGATATAATAAACAGAAAGAGACCAATAAACCAAGAAAGTTTGTGATAAGGTAATGTTCTGGTTTTGAATGGAATACAAACAATATTGTGCCAAATATGTGTTTATACTAATTAAGTTTATGACAGGCACATTCAAGTAGATTAAAATGCGTCTCTTAATTGGTGTACTTTCCAGGGCGCACTGGGTGTTTGATCATTTTAGATAATACAACAGCAGAAAGGGAAATTAAATTGACAGAGTTCAGAGAGGGAAGATGAAAGCTCCATGTGGTACACAGCCATAAACTATTGTTACAAATGTTACTAATTAGATTTCTATTTAATACTGATTTCCTTCTCTCGCTTATTTTATATATATATATAGTGATTGACTTCCACTGCATTAAAGGAACTCTTCAGGCTTTCCCTAAGGAGGGACAGTTTTAGCCATAGCTATCTAGCTCTCTATATTGCATTCATCACTGTGTTGTCTGAGACTAGTTCTGGGGGTCACATCTAAGGAGAAACTGCACTGGGGTCTCCTGGATAGATGAATTCCAAAAGCTAAGCACAAATACTTATGTCTATCCCTGCTCAGGAAAGCACTGAGGGTATGACTACACTGCCACCCTAGTTCGAACTAGGGAGGCTAATGTAGTCATTCGAACTTGCAAATGAAGCCCGGGATTTAAATATCCCGGGCTTCATTTGCATGTTCCCGGGCGCCGCCATTTTTAAATGCCTGGTAGTTCAAACTACTTGCCCACGGCTACACGAAGCGTGGGCTAGGTAATTCGAATTAAAGCTCCTAATTTGAACTACCGTTACTCCTCCTGCAACTCCTCCTGCAATGAGGAGTAACGGTAGTTCGAATTAGGAGCTTTAATTCGAACTACCTAGCCCGCGCCGTGTTGGGAGCTTAATTTGAACCTCCCTAGCCTGCGCCATGTGTAGCCGCAGGCAGGTAGTTCGAACTACCAGGCTTTAAAAAATGGCGGCACCCGGGAACATGCAAATGAAGCCCGGGATATTTAAATCCCGGGCTTCATTTGCAAGTTCAAATGACTACATTCTCCACCCTAGTTCGAACTAGGGTGGCAGTGTAGACATACCCTGAGGGACATACTTTCCTTTTGTATATGGCTTAAGTCCCATGGGCTCCACCTGATATAATGTTAAACATATCCTTGAGTGCTTTGTGAATCAAAGGCAAAATGAGTGAGAGGTGAAAGGCTCTTTAGTCCCATTACCAGTCTCCTCAGCTTTCTGGTTCCTGGTTTATATCCCTGTTATTATTTAGGCCAGAAAATTATCAAAACATTCACATTTTAAGTACAATTTTGAAGTTTCTTAAGACAACTCATTCCAAACAAGACATACTCTCATGTGCATGGCAAAAAACAAAACAAAACAAAACAAAACAAAAAACCTCTAGATTGCATTTTCTAGAAGACTGGTGAAGAAATCTAAAGCAAAACATGGACCTTGCCTGCTGATACTTACTGAGAACATTCATTGTCTCCAATCATTGTTAGAGCATCTGTTTCACATTTGGCAAGTGCACTTATCTCTCATTTCTTCCCTTCCTCATCCTTTCTCCCCCACCTTCATATCCTTCTGGTTCAGATAATGAATAAATCACAAAGAAATGACAAATGTATTGATAATCAAGATGAAACACAAATGAATTGCAAGTGGCTGTGTTTCTACATGGAGCTGTAAATTGCTTTCTTTTCTCATGTGGTAGAATGGCTGACTTGGAACCTAAAAATACTACCACATGGGGAAATTAATAGCAGAGCTCAAACAAGAAAGATTTTTCAGCAGTGAAATGTTCAGGCCCCCTGTCTTCTAACGGGTCAGGGTAGGATCATCATTTTCCATCCCAGGAAATTACTGGGAAGGGTTGATAATAATCTGAGAGCAGGGGTATGTGCAGGAATTTAGATTTGACTGCTTTTGGAGGGGCACATTAAACACTGTCAGGGCTGTTCTCCACTCTGGCACCCCAAGCACAGAAGATGGGAGCTCACAAAAAACCATAAATACCTTGCTTCTATAGGCTCTGCTTACAAACACTCCCCAGTGTCATAGATTCACTGGCTCTGAAAAAAAAAACAAAAAAACCAAAAGCTGCCACCATGAAGTGATTTAAACCCTTAAAAAAATTAGGGAGGAACACTTGAATTCCTTCCCCAGGGGCATCCCAAGCTCTTTAGTTCCAAGAGAGCTGGAGAAAGAAAAGAGGAAACAAACTGCAGTTTCTGATAGCTGACCGCTTAGTCTTAGGCATGCATACACACAGAGACAGACCTCCTCTTTCTTTCCAGGACCTGAGAATCAAATTAACACTTTAAAAAGGTGATTTTATTAACAAAATAAAAAGATATACTTGATAAAGCATACCTGGTTGCTGGGTGTTACAGAGCAACTGAGTAAAACAAATTAAAACACAGAACATCTTTGGGTACAGTCTTAGGGCACATCTAAACTACATTCCTCTTTCGAAAGAGGAATGTAAATGAGGCAAATCGAAAGTGCAAATGAAGCACGGATTTAAATATCCCATGCTTCATTTGCATATTTGCATCCAAGTGCTTTTTCAAAAAAGTGTTTTTCTAAAGTGAAAGTGCAGTCTAGACAGGGTTCATTCAGAAAAAAACCCTTTTTCGAAAGAACCTGTACTCCTCATTTTTTCAGGAGTAAGGGTTTTGGTTTTTTTTGTTTTTTTGTTTTGTTTTTTGAAAGAACCCTGTCTAGACTGAACTTTCACTTTCAAAAAACACTTTTTCGAAAAAGCAATTGGATGCGAATATGCAAATAAAGCATGGGATATTTAAATCCGTGCTTCATTTGCACTTTCAATTTGCCTCATTTGCATTCCTCTTTTGAAAGAGGAATGTAGGCTAGACATAGCCTAAGATAATGAATAGGGGAGGGAAGGCACAGATTCACACAGAGAAATTTAACCAAACAACCAAAACAAAGAAAAATACCCTGATTGCAACTAAATACACTTTTTCCTTTTATTCATGATCTGTTCTGATTCGTACTTCATGGCCCAGTTCACTCCCATGTCCAATATTGCTTATAGGCATGGTAATTCTGATTACTGCATATGTTCCCTCCAGCCCTTAGCTTAGAAGACCTTTTCAAAGGCAAGGTATCTAAATATAATCCAAATTTCAGCACTGTATCCCCATTGATTCTTCTGGCCCCCCTGCCAACACTCTGGCTAGCTACCTGAGTTTAACCCTTTAGTCACTGGGTGCTGACCAGCAGTCCTCCTATCCATCACAGACACACACAAAAGAAAGATTTGCATGACCACTTCACCTCAGATTTCTCAGAAGGCCTTTGGCAGGGTCAGCCAGCAGTGAGAAGTGAACCTCTTCCTCTGGCAGCCATATGTCCCTGCAGCCCAGGGATAAGAAAAGCTACAGGGTGGCTAGCTGCTGGCTGAGTTCTAGCCATCCTTCACAGTTGCTGCTTCTCCTTCCCTACTGCTGCTGCATGCTTTGCAGAGTGCCCACTGAGGTGAATCAGGGAGTGCAAGCAGAGAGAAAAAGGAGGAGCTAAGTCAGCAGTCAGATGCCCTTGTGTCTTCTTTCCCGGGGACTGCAGGGACACACAAATATTTGGGGGAGGGAGGAGATCCTTGCTTGCCCACCCTTGTGAATGTGTGAGAACCTTGACAATTTGGGACTAGGGAGGGGAATGGAGAGTTGAAGGGTTTTATTTCTCTATATTTAAGACCCTATGTAAATTTCATACTTCTGAAAGTGAAGGACTGTTCTGAGTCTGGCATGGTGAATGATGGCAGATGACTCTGTGGCAAGTCCTCTCCTCCCAGACTCTATGTTTTTGTAGTTGTCATCACTGAAACAGCTTTCCAGTGCAGCTTGATTCTTACTGGAAGCACCCTTTTTCACCCCTTGTCATGCACAAGCCAATGCCAATGGACATCATTATTGCAACATCCTCCTGATCTATTCCTGTGGACTCCATCCCCAACAGCTTCCTGTCAATACACCTTATTAGTGACATGCAACACCCCATGTTATTCTCTTCCTGGGAACCTACGCACACAGGACATGTCTACCCTAGGAAATTATTTCAAAATAACTAAATTTGAAGAAATAACTCCTCAAATAATTATTTCAAAATAATCTTATTCCCCTAGGAAAGCAGGAGTACAAATTTCGAAATAACCAGCCTGTTATTTTGAAATAACAGGCTTGGTAGTATAGATGCTCCATTTATTGTTTCCAAATAAGGGGGAGTTATTTCACAATAACTCCCTAGTGTAGACAAGGGCACTGAAATGCCAATGCATTTCAATCCCAATCTGTAGCAACTTCCCCCCACCCCAGCTAGTCCAGTCTGAGGTTCTCCACATAGCTCTGTCTCCTTATTGACAGCTGCTTCACCATTCTAATCCTCTACAGAATGAGCAGACTGCTAATAGTTGTTCTGAATTATTTATTTATGAAAGATTCAAGACTTATCTGTTTGCTAACGCTTATCTTGAGAGGGCATGAAGATGAGGGCATAGAAGAGGGAGCTAGCTTTCACCATATGTAGATAAACATCACACCACTGTCTTCTGTGGACCTATGTCCACTATAGATGTGATTCTAGTCTTTAGTATGGTGGTTAGGAAAATTTTATGTATTGGACTAGCATCAATATGGAAAATGTCACACAAATTCTTTATTCTGCATATATACATTCCTAGAACATAATATAGTTATGTTATATATCTAAATAATTGAATTAAAGTACATATTATTTACCTAAAAGCACTATGAAGTAGATTAATCTAATTAATCTTTTAATTTAAAATATAATTTGGTATCATATTATACCTGCGGCATTGTTGCTCATTAAAATTAAAAGCTAATGAAATAAGGAATAATCTTAGCTATAATCACTTTATTTTTATATTTGCAGCAAGCTGAGACATAAAAATAGACTCTGTAAATACATCCACTGTTATTGCCACACACACTCTTTTCCTTCAATGTGCTAATTGCAAGAGATGGAAAAAGTGGTTTGGATAATCACACAGTATTTTTCATCATTGTGACATTTTAAAAACTGACTGGGTCCTGGCACCTCTCCTTTGAGGTTGGTAAGTATGTAAATATCATTAGTCTCATTTCCAGATGATCTCACTGAAGCAAAGATGAAAAGTTATTTCCCCAGAGCCACAGAGGGAGTTGGTGTTAGATTCATTCTGAGCACTTTCTCGACACTCAAACCTAATATTTGCTTCCAGACTTGGAAAAATTCAAGTCACTTGCAGGTTCATTAGCTCTATCCTTTGATGGCTGTTCAGTGGCCAATGTGAAATGATGAGGGTTGAAGTGGGGAGGTACGTCTCTGTCCCACCAAGCACTGTTCTTATGTTGGAAATTGAACATCTCTCTAATCACAGAAGGTTGTGGTGAATACAACTGAGAAAAACTGGAAGACTACAGGGGGTGTACTTTGAACTGCCATTGACAGATCTGACAATATTCCAGAGGAGCAGGCATCCTATAGACAAATGGAGAATTCTAGAGTCAAGTACTGTCAAACCAGAACGAACTAAGCAAATTATTTTTCTCTTTGATTTTTCCTACCTCACAGGAGTCCTGTGAAGACAAATACACTATTTTTAAAGTACTCAGATGCTATGGTAAAAGGGGCCATATCAATGCGTAGTTTACTCCTGTATAATAGTAATGGATTATATTTGTAAAATTATACTATTTATATAATAGTAATGGATTATATTTGTAAACTGTAGAGCAGTTGCAAGGCTCCTGCAGTGGCACAGTGGATAAGTTACCTGCCCCTGGAGCCAGAGGTTGAAGGCTCAAGCCTCTCCCAGGGACAGCCACCCCCCAGTTGGTGATGGACAGAGCTGGCACCCTGGGGCAAAGGTTTGAAATAAAGTCAAAGTAGGGGACTTCTTATTCCAACTCCTGTAACCCTCATTTTATGAGGAGTAAGGGAAATCGGAGGAAGACTGCTCTAACTTGCACTTCCTGCTGTGTAGACAGTGCCAAAAGCCAAAATAAGCTATTTTGACTTAAGCTATGCAATTGACTTAGCTCAAGTTGCGTCGCTTATTTTGGCTTTAGTCCTGCTGTGTAGATATTCCCTGACAGACCTTTTCCTCTGTCCTGACCATGTAGAAGTACTGGACATATCCAGATTCCGTGATTAGGGGAGGAAATACCTGTTAGTGAAGAGAAGACAACCTAGAGATCATTCCAATGCAAGAGAGGAACGTACATTCCCAGGCCCTTCCTGTGTGTGGGGAAAAGACAGACAACACCACATGGGAAGAACAATACACCCACATCAAGCTAGCAGTTGTGCTTATGGATTTTTGTGGCTGGATCTTATAATGTAATCTAGTGTGTGTACAGATGTTAGTCAGTGTTTGTCCTTGTCTGGTTCAGGGGCAGGTGCGTGAGCATTCAATTTTATGTGCAAATGGAGGCCAAGCAGGTAGAGGAACAGCTGAGAATGTACTTAATAAGGTTTATTAAAGCTTGTTAATGAGCTATTCAGGAATATCTTCTAAGACAGTGATTCTCCATAAACAATTATATGTTTCTTTTCACAAGTCTGGGGATCAATCGCTACCCAGGCAGCACAAGCAGAAGAGATACAACTTAATTACAAACCATTTTCTTTCCTCAGGCAATCCTGGAAGCCGCATGGTGTGCCGCTGTAGTTAGACACTGAAGCACCATGAACTGCATATCTCCTGGATCATTGGTCTGTGACAGGAGAACACTTTTCTCCACTAGCTTGTCCTAATTCTCAGATGGCTAGCTTATCGTTGGTGCTTAACACTGTAAATGATCCGTTTGTCATGTACCGCTATTAATCTTTCCAATTTAACCAGAAAAAATAGACAAGAAAGATCTCAGGAAAGACCATTGAGATCCTGTTGTACCAGCTTCCAGCAGTCCTCCATGGCTTTTTGATAGGAAGAGATAAGATATTTGACTCAAGAGTACTGGATGGCTCAGTGTATGATTAATAGAGTGCAGAATCTTTCACCTCCCAGTCAGCACTTGAAATCTTTCTTGATTCCCCTGATAGCTAATCAATATGAAATAAGTTATTAGGGGTTGAACACTAAGGATGTGCTCAGTGTTGTAGAGGATACAAAAATAAAGACAGTCCTTGCCCTGAAGGGTTTGCAATCTTACCAAGATAGGTGCAAAATAAACTGGTTACAATGATAAGAGGGAACAACTAAGAGTTCTCCTTCATTTTATGTTGCTATTTTATATTATTATTGTGGACTTGTTGTTTGTGGTCATCACACTTGAGCCTTCAGAGGGAATTTGAACAAATAGAGTGCAGTGGCTTGGCAAATAGGTATGCAAAAGCCAATGGGAATTGGTGGTCTTTGTCCACTTTCCTGGGAAATGTGGCTGGAGTAACAGGGAAAAAACCCAATGACTAAAAACCAGCACTTTGATCAGATACCAAGTGACCCTTTTATTAGAAGTCTTAGTAGAGAGGCCCAGAATTAAATTGGATTTGAGACAACCCCTCTTCACCCAAGAAGTTGCCCCTCAGGCAGTGAGTTTTAAGGAAACAGGGAAGTATGGTTGACATTTGTCCACATGCCATGCTTTCTCTGGGGATAGATGGAGAATTTCCTTCTCCAAGATTTTCATCAAAGCATGTTTCACCTATATAATAGTTTCTCAGAATGAAAACAAAATGCTTCTGCTGTTAACAAGTGATATTATCATACTTTGTGATGGGTAATTTTCAAGCTCATCTCATGTTATTTTTTCTCAGTCTGAAATGTGTTATATTAATTACATTCAATATATGTACTGGGTTTTGTGGGGTCAGCGAACCATGAAATCCTGGGACAAAGATCTTTAAACAGAGCAGTGATGAAAGTTAATTAGACCTAATATCCAATGAAGGGGAATAGTTTTCTGTTGCTGAATGTTAACAGATAAATACCTCCTGTCATCATTATATTTCTGCTTAGAATAGAAAACATTTGAAAGAGTGAGCTTTAGATGAGACCGTGTCATTATAGGAAATATAATAATACTTAGCATTCATACAGTGCTTCTCAGTGCATTACAAATATGAATTAATCCTCACTACATTCTTTTATGTTATTATTTGTATTATTATTGTAAGGAAGAAAAATATTTCTTTTTAAAAATCTATTATCCATGTTACTTATAACCCCTTGGATTAAATACTGAATATTTTCTTTCTCTGATTTTGGACTTTGTTCATGTTTTTTTCAGTTCCATCCAATGGGACAGAAAATCACTGTCCCTTCATCTCTGTTATCTAGTCAGTTTCACCTTCATTTTGACAGTGCAAATAAACTAGAGAAATGAGAACAAAA